CACACACACACACACACACACACAATGGCACCATCAGCCCCTGGAGAGGGCTGGTGAGCTGACAGAGACACCATCTGTCTTTCTAATCAAACAGGAATAGAAGCCTGTATTGGAATAACATGTTCCTCAGCTGTGAGTTTAGATGCGTGTACCTGTTGTTATCCTACAATGACAAACACTCTTTGGCCCCAGATTCAGCCTCGTGAACCAGCTATTTGTTTTGTGTCTCTGTTCATATATTGAGAGGTTGAATTTACGTTTCGAGCTGTGAGTCGTTCCGTCAGCATCCTCTCTCACAAACAGCTGCTGTCGTCACATGGGAACACGGTAACACAGACATCCAAATGGCTCCCGGCTCGTAATTTGACAGGTCCAGTCAGGGTGCAGAGTCTCCGAGGGGGCAGAGCCGCTGTGTGTGACGTGGTTAATGTCAGAATAATGTGAAAGTTTATTGATCCCTGCAGGGAAATTCCTCTGGTTCGCTTCCATCAGGGACGTGTGGAGCCCAGTCTGAGCTGCAGCTCCTGTGCAGTGGATGGATTCAGTTTCTGACTTGTTGAAGGATGTTTCAGCTGGACAGATGTTAGCGGACCATAAACAAGTCGTATGAAGTGTTCTCTGAGAAATCAATGAAAATGCTGCCGAATGCACGACCTCCTCGAAATAACAAAACAAACATAACCTCCTTGTTGGAGGTAACTGATGGAATTTGTGGTCATGTTATGTTGCTGAAGCAAAAACCTCAGCAAATCCAAAAATAAAATACCTGCAAACAATTGCTTTTACTATGTTTTTATAAAAATCCGATAACCTGGTTTTACTACTGGAAGTAACACTAAGTAGGTACGTGGTCGTAACTGCCCGAACCCAGAGCGATACAGCTGTGATTGGACAATCGTTTTTTTTCCTGGGCGGAGCGCGGCGAGCAGCAGTTGTGTTGTCACCTAAACTACATCCGATCTAAGATGCATGAGAAGAGCAGGCTGTGTAACGGGTGTAAGGTCAGACAGGAGTCATGTCGTGTGTGTGTTTCTCATCAAACATTAATGAGAGCTGCTGCTGCTGTGCAGTAACTGGGGAACTTCATGTGACATTTCCATGTCGGTCGAGCTGCAGTGGAAGTCACATGACGTGTGTGTGTGTCCTCGTGTAAAACATCATCTGATTAGAGGTGGAGTTAGGAGAGCTGGAGTTCAGCCACATGTCGTATCGTAGTTACAGAAAATAAGCCGATGGTTACGGACTGAATCTCACAAACCATTCTGGAAACATAATTGAAATTTTTATCACTTTAGTTGCCCTTCCGGCTTTTTAACAGCCGGTAATAAGGTGACATTTGTGGCCCCCGGGCCACGTAAATGTCACATGTTCTGTGGGTTGATTCAGCCACGAGCTGAGCGGCGGTGAGCTGCGGGCCGTTTTGCTTGGAGGAAATCAAATCAGCTGCGACGCAGGTAACAAGACCTTTCTGTTTCCTTCTCTCAGATCATTGTCCTGTGGAACTGTGACAAGCCTCTCCCCGCCAAGCAGCGCTGGCCCGCCACCTCGGTGCCCGTCATCGTCATCGAGGGGGAGAACAAGGTGAGAGAGCAGCACGTCTGCATGGTTTTCTTTTTTCTTTTACTTCTTGTCGCTGTTTTGTTCGCAAGAAGATAATGATCCGTGTGTTTTTTAAGCAAGATTACTAAAAAACTAACTGAAGGGATTTCCTCAAAACCTGGTGGACGGACGGAGTAGGGATCAGGGAAGAATCCATAAAATTTTGGCGGAGGACTGTATCATTTTCCTGCTTTCTCACACGGACATTGGCTGTAAAAGTTCCAGGAAATGTCTGGAGCAACTGATTTGGACTTTTACGTTCTCTCGTGCAGCCCCTCTGGATCATTACAGGAAAACGTTTGTCTGAAAATGACCTCAGAGGTGTTGTCGCTATCACTTTCAATGAGGCCTCTCCCCCTGTACGTCGTCTCCAACTGTAGAGCTACTGTATCTCTGCACATTTTGCTCAGTCTCAGAGTTTCTGGGAGTTAATGAGTTTCGATTTGTGCTGCACTGATTCCATTAAAGGACATTTTGTGTGGTTTTAATTAAAGCTCAGTAATGGGAATAATATACTCTGGGAAAAAAGCGTGACTGAGAGGCTAATGCATATTAGGGGAGATAAGGAGGCGGTAATCTAAGTGCATATGCACAGTTGCATTTATTTATTATTTCAGTGTATTTACTGCTGTTTCTTCATGTTAATCATTAAGTGAAGAAAGTGACAAAAGACCTCCCGCAGAAATATGTTGTAGTTGAGTTGTAATATTCACAACAAATAAACCCGGCAGACAACTTTCATTAGTTTGAGGTTTAGTTTTTCTTAATGGGTTTAATAACTTATGATCCTCACATCATCTCTGCAGCCATTTCAAAACCCATAATTACTAAATCTATACTTAAATGTGTGTTACCGGGTCGCAACTGGAACTCCCTCTCATTATGTGCTGATTACTTTATCAATATATGGATTGTTTGGTGTGTAGGATGAAAATAATGACAGGGAACCAAAGGTGAAGTCGCTAAGTGCTCACATATTTTACATATTTTGGTTCGCTGTGACAAGAAACGGAGAAGAGCGGCAAAAAGGAGATTAAAGTGTGAACCGAGGTGTAAATGTGACTCAAAGCTTCTGAAAAAGCTGTGATGGTCATCTCAGTTCCTGTTTTGTTTTGCCTTCTGTCAGTTAACCCTTCATCCACACAGACACGGAGCCCTGAGCGACCAGCGCGCCTCAGTGGCGTTTATTATGACAGCCTTATTAGCTCGTTACGCTCAAGTCTCTGCCCTGTGAAGAGGCGTCTGTGTTTTCTCTGTCTTCCCCCGTAACCTCGTCTTGCACGGGTCAAAGGTCAGACGTGGACGCCCATCCGAGTGGGTTTGACAATATCCAAGCTCACGTTTGAGTTTTGTTTTTGAGGCGGAGGACTCATCTGTATTCCGAGACATCAGACTTATCCTCTCGCTCGCGACGACTTAACTTCACCTGCCAATCAGAGGAAGTGGTTTTCACATCAGTGTCAGTCACCCGGCGGTAGGCTGGGTTCATGGTTTACTTCTCCCCGTGGCTCAGAATGGTTTCCTCCGAGCTGTCAGTCAGAGCGGTCGGGCTCTGTGTCGCCGCGTGTCCGTGAAAAGCGGGCGGAACAGGCTAAGTGTGCTCATATGTGTGTGTGTGTGTGTGTGTGTGTGTGTGTGTGTGTGTGTGTGTGTTCCGAACAGCCTGTGGTTTGTTGTGGTTGCGGCGGGTTCTGTGTTTACCGTGGCGAGCCGAGCTGTGTTCCTCTACCCCACAGAGGGAGAGAGCGAGAATGTTTTCATCCTTCCTGCCTCTTTATTCCTCATCCTCTCTCGCAGATGTTTCTTTATCATTTCATCTGCATAAAGCACTTTTAGATTGAAGTTTATTATGTAGGCACACAGCTGTTCTAACTTAATAAATGTTCATTAAAACAATACGTGCGTAAACTGTTTTTAAAGATCTCAGGAGCAAGGAATTAACACGTTAACATTTTGAGCATTTTTGCCTTCGGTCTTTTTTATGGGATTTTGAACAGAACACACATAAAACAACACAAATCTTCTCTTTGAACCAACTGCCCTCTTTTCTTCCCTCCGTCATCCATCCCCTCTGTCTCTCCGGCACAGTAGCCAATAAAAAAATATGCTCTCTGCCTGTAGTCTTAAACTGGGTTAGAGTCCCAGCCGTGTTTAACATGGCTCACTGTGGCTGGTGGTCCTGCTCCCGTCCTCCCTCTCCCCGGCTCCTCTGCTGCTGTCCTTTCGAGAGGAGGTGAAGTGCTGCAGGCGGATTCCTGCTGTAAGAGCTCACATTCCTGGAGAGCACCAGGAAGCCCCGGGCTAATGTGTCACACTTGGAACATTACAAACCATCTGGGGCTTTAAAACACCGGCCTCTCGTCCTCTCTTTCCCTCCGTCTCTTTCCCCCCTTTTTTTTTGCAGTTTGCCTCGCTGTCACTCTCTCCCCACCTGCCTCCATATCGTCTCCTCTCCTTCTTCGTCGGTATTCTCTATTACACATTCTGCTGGTAAACAAGTGGAAAACACTGAGCGGAGAGATTGTTTTGTTCCTCTCTTAACGCCCGCAGGACATTACAGCAGTAATGATGAGAGGGGAGGGTATCGGCTCTCCTCTCTCCTCTCAGTTTCCCCCTCGCCTGTAAACACAACTGTCACTCACACGCCGCGGCTCTCTCACCCCGTCAGAATATGAGCCGCAGTCGAAGCGTTCGGCTGCTGTCGTTGCCTCTGGAGTGTTTTTTTCAGATGGAGGGTGGCACTTGACCGGGACGACAGCTGACATCAGCTTTAACAGCAGTGTCGGGGCTGCGTGTGGTAACAAAGGTGGATACACAGAGCACCTATAGAAATAAAGACAATATCCCGTCTGGAGCCGTTATGACTGCGTTCAGTCTGCTAGTGGTGCGGTTTGTATTGGTCTGTATCTAATTGGTTGGTAACATGGACTTTAAATAAAGATGGATGACGCATCTCCACGTCCTCGTATTGTAAAAGAAATGAAGCCAAAACATCCCGGATGCAGGCGCAGCCATTTAGAGCCAGAGTCTCACCCCGACACACAAGTGTGACAACGTGTCATTTCCTCCAGCCAGTGGGTGGCGCTCTATCTTTATTTGAATAGTGGCCTCTCATCAAACATGCGTCATCAATGAGTGAGCATCAAGGTCTCAACGATTTACTGAGCACGTTTGAAACGGATCTGCTCCACTTCAGATGTAAAAAGAATTGTAAGAATCATCTTAAAGAATTTTCTTCTTTAGCCAAATGAACAGTTAAATCATTTAAAACTCCTACATGTATGTGAGATCAGTGTTTTTTTAATTAGTTTGAGATGCAGCTCATAACATTTTTCCTGTTCAACATCTGCAAAAAGAAAAATAATCAGAACAGACTTAATGAAACCGTTAATCGGACATTTGATCTTTTTTATATACTGCATTTTTAGATTAACCCATAAATAAATCAACCACTAACTGATGAGGCGAAGTTGTCGGCTGCAGTTTTTCAAATGTGATGATTTTCTCTATTTTATTTAATTGCAAACTTGAAATAAAATGTTGAAAGCTTAACAAAGCGAATTAAATCACACTTGTGATCATTGCTGCATCAATAAATTAGATTTTTTTAAGCAATTACCATCGTCTTGCTCGTCTGAGACGTTTGTTCTCATATAAAGATGCAGCATTTTTACTAAACTTAAACTTAATTAAACCTGCTTTTATGATTGTAAACAAACTCTTTGGACTGTTGATAAAAAGTTGCGATGGATGTTTTTTCTCCACATTTCTATGACATAGTAAAGTGTAATAAAGGTTATAATGGTCACCGTGCTGTGAGAGATAACGACTTTACAGCTCGTCAGTAAAGTCGCGTATTCTTGTATTTTTCTCGGCGTGTGTCGCTGCCCTCGGCGTGTGAAGACCTGCTGAGAGTGAGGTCACCCTGCTGTCCACAGGTGTCTATAGAAACTATTCATGAATCTATATGTGACGTCTTTCAGTGCAGGTGATGGTGTTTTAAAGAACAAGTATGCTAGCAGAGGTCTGACCTTAACATCTGTGCTGAATAACTGTGTGTGTGTGTGTGTGTTAACATCCATTAAAGGTTTGTGTGCATCAGATGTTTCTTGTGTGTGTGGGAGGTTGACTTCGAGCACATCCAGTTTACGATGCACTCGCTCTTCGTCAACATGAAGCTGCCGTTTCTTTATTTCTGTCACCCGAGCGTCTTCATCTCGGCGGCTCACCGAAGACTTCCTGTTTATGTAGAAACAAGACGTCCTCCCACCCACCAGGCCCCGGCCACCATCACTCTCTCCACGCTTCCAGAAAATGTTCGAGGACTGTCATGTATTATACAATTTGGTTTCATCCACCATTAAATATACATTCTGTTTTCGACAGCCGAGGAGAAATAAAAGTCAATTTGTGCCGAGTGTCCGACACACGTCTGCTCCTGTCGATCTAAAACAGACAGCTCTGTATCAGCTTTCTATCACAGCTGGAAACAACAGGGAGCAGTAAAGAGCAGGTTATTGGCTTTTCTCTCCAGCTCTGTGAGCCGCTGCTTGTTGATGTTGTGGTTTGTTGTTGTCTCCAATGAATCCCAACGAATTTTGCGAGGATCCATTAAAAATGCATCAAGGTTGAAGCAAATGGAGTTTTTGTTGTAAAATTTGTAACAAGTGAAGTCCTCGATTTACCGACAGAGAGTTTTGGGTAAAAAAAAAAAGAGATGCTGGTGGTGGAGCTCATCCTTCACGCTTTGGTGATCAATGCTTTTATTAGATCTCAGACTGGAATACTTTTTGTTAAAGGATCATACGCAGTGACTTCCTCAGCTCTACTGTTTTAGTGTCTTTCAGCTCATTGTTTTGGTTTCCGAGTCTTAATATTTGCTTATTTTGATTCACTTTCTTCGCGACTTTTTAAAAGAAGCAGTATGAATCAACCGTATGCTGAGAGCTTAAAGCCAAAGCTAGCGACTAGCTTGTGAAAATGGTGAAACATTTTACAGCCGAAACTGAAAAAAACCTAGTCAAGGCAGACGTAAGACAGGAGACGGTAAACTACATGGATTTTAATGGATTTTCTTAAATCTAAAATCGTAAAAAAACAAATCTTTGATCCGTTTACACAGATATGCTAATATCGATATTTTTTTGTTCGTTGCTAGTGCACAGCTGGTTTCTGGCGCCCCAAATTGCAGGTTTAGAAATTGAGCATTAAAAAGAAATTTGCAAACTGAACAAAAGCAACTTTTGAGTCATCACGAAAAAGCCGATTTTATTAAAAATTTAGTGGAAGCTGTCTTCTGTGTGATTCAACACCTCCACACTGAGAGTTATAAAAAAAAAAAATAGACATCAAAGATTTGACAACAAAAGCTTTCCGATCTTTTTTCTCAGACGTCTACCGCCTGTCGGCTTCACGTTTGCTCCCTCAACCACGTAAACGTGATCCATCCGACCACACGATCATGAATTAACGCTGTTTGAAGAACGAAATCCGATTGTTTCTATTTATGTGTTTGCAAACCTGTTGTTTTTAAACCCTCCCCGCTCTGTGTCTCCCCCTGCAGGTGATGAGCAGCCGCTTCTTGCCCTATGAGACCATAGTGACCGACGCGGTCCTCAGCCTGGATGAAGACACAGTGTTGTCCACCACAGAGGTATCGTTTAATAGAAAACTCTTCCGCTTGTGTCTCAGTGGCTTTATTCTCTTGAGACAAAACAAAGTTACAAACTATTTCCATCTTTCCAAATGCAACTCTCTGATTCTATTATCTCTCAAGTTTTTTTATCTTCCTCTTTGTCCCTGAAGTTTTCAAGTTATCGCTCTGCAGCTTGATTCTTAAATAACTTAAACCACGCCGACTTTCTCTCCCAGAGCCGTACTTTTTCCATCTTTTTCTCATTTGCCCGTCTTTCTTCCTCTCTCACCTTTTCTATCCCTTTTCTACCTCAGTTTTATTCATTTTTTTTTTGTAATCAAGCTCTTCCTCTTGAATCCCCCGTGCGAGAGCAGCCCTGTTATTGACATATTTGTTCCACATGCTGTTGGGATTGTTTCTGGGGTTTTTTGGGTTTTTTTCCCGGGGACAGGTTTTGGCGCAGCACCGTGGGAAGCCAGATGCCGCTTTGAACTGTGTTGAATTAGATCCCATAAAGGATGTTTGTGTGGAGGATCAGGATGGCGAGGCAGAGGTGGCAGTGAAGGGGAATCCCAGCTCTGAACAAACAAAAAAAACTGCCACACAGACAATTTACAAGATAGTTTAGAAGAAAATGATTTCTGAACGGTCTCCTCATCTTTTCATTCATTTAAAAGTTGACTTTTTCATCACTGTTTGCCTCCCACCAAGCACAAAATCTATTTCTTCACCCTTGAAGTAATATCCATGTTGAATTGGAAGAATTTCACCGTTTCCTTTTGACTTTAAGATCCTTCACATATCTTCGTTTTTTAAAGAAACAGTCGCAGCTCTTCTTCTTCTTTTCCTTTGGGACTCGCCCAAATAATTTTGGCAAAATGAGCGGATAAAAGTGAAGTTTATTATGTTTAATGGTGGCTTGTGACTGAAGTGTTCATTAATATAAACTCCCTCTCAGTGTATTATAGTGTTGAACTGTGTGGCGTGATGCAGCGCAGGCTGTTTGCGGAGCCGCTGAGGCCTTTGTGATGTTTCTCTACTTATTTGATTGAGCGCTTTGATCGCCGCCACAGAAGTTTGCTGCAGGCAGCTGCTTAGGAAACACGTCTTTGTGTTTGATGAGGTTTTGCCTCTGTTGTGTTTTCACTAAAGTGTGTTTGAGTGTGCAGTTCCTTTGTTGGTTCTCCCTGTAATCGCTTCATTCTTTTTTTCCTTTCTGTCTTTTTATACTATAAATAGATGCAGTTAACTCAAACATTACATATTTAGCTTAATTTCATTTCTCCACATTTTCTCCTCCAGCGAAATCGACTCAGGGAAAATCTCTCTCGCTGATAGATACAATATGATACTAAAAGATACAATATGATACTAAAAGATACAATATGATACTAAAAGATACAATATGATACTAAAAGATACAATGTGATACGATATGATAGGTTACATTACATAGAGTTAGGTTACTTAACGCTACGTTATGTTACGTTACAATAATCCTTACTAGTCCCACTATGGGGAAATTTGCTGTCTTATGATATTTATTTGTATTTTTTATATTTCCCCTTTACTTGTTACTTTTACTGATGTTTTCTTATCTTATCCTATCTTAAATGCTTTAAAATCAAATATTAAAGAAAGCCACTTTAATATAAAAACCTGTTTAACAAACGGTTTCTAAAGTGATAACCGTCATTCATATCATAACCGTTGAACATCATGAAGACTCATCATGTTCCTCTGCACAGGTGGACTTTGCCTTCACCGTCTGGCAGAGTTTTCCGGAGCGAATCGTCGGTTACCCGGCACGCAGCCACTTCTGGGACGGCAACAAGGAGCGCTGGGGCTACACGTCCAAATGGACCAACGACTACTCGATGGTGCTGACCGGGGCCGCCATCTACCACCGGTACGACACAATACACACAGATCATCTTCTCATCGGTGAAATCTTAAGTTCTGTGCGTTTGTTTACCTCCATGTGAAATATCTGCCTCAGCAGAGTCAAACCTCTGTTTTCCCTCCTGTTCTGTTCCGCTCCCGTTAGACGGGGATCGCAGCTCCGCTCTGCTCTCCAGTGTTCGCTTGCCTTTCTTTTGAAACAACACTTTGATGCAGTGATCTGTAGATCATGAAAGTAGGTGTGATGTTCGTTGTAGCACAGCCTCGGGAAACTGTGTTTTTTTTTTCACTGGGTGCGTTTCATCCAAAATGTCAATTTGTCTTCTGCGTCGTGTTCCTGCGTTTAGCGGATCTGCGGCCCTGTCAGCTTTAATATGGCCTCACTCAGCCATGATGCGAGCAGTCCATTAATCTGACGGCAGCCAATCGCTGCAGCCCAACGCTTAATCGCTTTCAATAAATCCGTCGTTCAGTCAGTTGCTGAATTGAGTTTAATCCAATGGCTTCAACCTGAAACATAATGGAGTTTAAAATGTGGGTACATTTTAGTAAGTGGAAATATTTAGTCTCTTTTCTTTATATTGAAATAGCTGCTGATTCACTTCTGACTGATTAATCATGTGATTGTTTCATCTCATCTTCAGTTAAATGTTTTTCTTGGGGAGAAATGTGAGATTCAAAAATGGGATAAAACATTTTTTTCTAATCACAGATGTTTTTAAAAAGTGAGTCCTTGCAAAAACCTGGTGCATAGACACACTTCTTCTAGAAATAAAATATACTCTAACTGTGATTTAGTCCTTTTGTCTTTTGTTTTTAACTCTTCTTCTGTTTTGGGCCTGAAGTACAGCACAGGAACATATTTGAAGTTCTGCACATGTACATGTTTCATCCTGTGTTTGCAATTTTGTGGGAAAAAAACAATAATGTCGCTCAGATAAAAGTTAAATCTTCTTCCTGACAGTTTGTCTCCTCTGACTCCTGCGTGTCTTCTCCTCCAGGTATTATCATCATCTGTACACCAGCTACTTGCCCACCAGTCTGAAGAGCATGGTGGACCAGCTGGCAAACTGTGAGGACATCCTGATGAACTTTCTGGTCTCTGCCGTCACCAAGCTGCCGCCCATCAAGGTCACGCAGAAGAAACAGTACAAAGAGACCATGATGGGACAGGTGAGCGTCTATATTCTCACTTTATCTATATTTTCATGTAGCTGACAAAAGTAGAGAAATGAATTCTGCGTCAAAGAAAACACGAGAGAATAAACCTTTGTTTTTTTATTTTCTTTCTGCTTTTTTTTTTATATATATGCAGTGATTCAGGCTGAAACCGGTGTTGTTTACTTCCCGTCGTGCGTGTCATGGCCTTTCAGCTGAAGTGAACTCTTGCAGCTCTGAGAACAGCACGAATTATTCTCTTGAAATTCTTTTGAGCGACCCCGTGGATAAACACGACAACTTACTAACAGCAGAGAAACAAAAACACAGGAAGGAGTCGTGTCAGTCTTGAAGCTTCGTGATTTCTATTCAGGTTCCAGCCTCTGCAAAGAGAGAAACCGAGCCAGCTGATGATTTATTGAGAAACGTTAATGTCACTAATGCTTTTCTCTTGTCTCTGTGGCCGATGTAAGATTATGACTGAATTAGAGAACGCAGATGTCTCGTCTTTCTCATGTATTTTGAATGTCTCCTTCATCATGATCTGAAGAAGTGGATGAGCTCAAGTTACCTTTCATTTACTCCACAGTAAAACATGAAAAATGTGTTAATTACAATAACTCTCAGAGTTGATTGTGAAGTGTTAAAGTGTGGATATTCAGGATGTTCTTTTCTGGAGACTTTACACTTTTGGAGTCTGATGCCAGCATTTTTTTATGATTCCTAAGATGTCGGTATCAAATCCATTTTTCATATTACATCGTCATTTTCAGAGAAATGTAACTGACGTAATTAACAAACTTTATATAAATGGACGCATATCTGCAAAAATAAACCCAGATCCCAATATGTTGATTTTTATTTTGAAATAAAACATGCAACATCAAAATATATGCAAATCTGGGAGACGATCAGAGAATCAGAGATCAAACCACTGAATAATCCTAATATCGACAACCTGTCTCTAAAACTCTTCTTCTTCTGTCTTCTCCTCCTCTTCTTCGTGCCCACCAGTCTTCGAGGGCTTCTCGCTGGGCCGACCCGGACCACTTCGCCCAGCGGCAGACCTGCATGAACAAGTTCGCCAGCTGGTTTGGCGCCATGCCGTTGGTCCACTCCCAGATGAGACTGGACCCCGTCCTGTTCAAGGACCAGGTCTCCATCCTCCGCAAGAAATACAGGGACATCGAGCGGCTCTGACAAGACCGGCGCCCCCTGGGGGGAGACCCCACGCAGGGGGAGGCGCGAGACACTGACTCAGTGGAGGGGAGAAGTAGTCGGACTATAGCAGGATGGACGGGGAGCGACTCGGCTCTGTCTTCCACTCAGCACATTGCCAATGACCGCAGCGCCGCGGCTGCCAGGACTTGACGCGGAAAGGGATGAACAGGAAACAAGCAGATGGTGTTTGGATTTGAAAAACACAAACAAAAAACACAAACACAGACCGACAAAGAGGAGTACACAAACTGACGGACAAGCCAAACAGTGCTGTATGTTTCACACGCGTGCAAACACCCGGCACACACACTACTGACGACGACAACCAACTGAATAGAATATTTTTTTTGTACGACATGAACAAGGGCGACATTGACTTTCCTGCTCTTTCGGCACATGTACAGGACGGTAGAAGAGGGAAGGCGTTCAACATCGCAAACCACACCCACTGCAAATCCTACTGGTCGCCCCTAGCAACCCCGGTTGTCTGCATCAAGATATAATACTGGACTCACTATCAATTCCCCTGTTTTCTCGCCTGGGAAACCCTGTTCTTCACTTGATTTATTGTAATTTCGCTCAGTATCACTCTTGAACCTTTCTTTATCGTCGCTGAGAGGTTTCGAATCGGAGCATCATCAGTTTTTGATATTTTTTTTCGAGGCAGAAAAACGTTTTATTACCGGTCTTCACAGAAGAGCAGTCGTTCTCGTCTGATATTCTGATTCTCGGCTGTCGACACACGTCCTCGAGCCTCGAGTCTGAAAACATCCTGTCCGTCTTATCTGTGGCTCGGTCCTTGATCTGATGATACGGCTTTTATAATCCTCTATCTGCTTCTCTGTTATCGCTCGGATAAGTTAGAAAAACATCTCGTTTCATATCCCATTTTCCTCTCGGACTCGTACCCATGGCAGTTGTACTTTTCTTATCTTTTTTTTTTTGTCCACTTTCATCATCTTTTATTTTCCCCGTCAAACTCTGTAGTTTCATTCTTTTGTGTGTGTGTGTGTGTGTGTGAGAGAGAGAGAGAGAGAGAGAGAGAGAGAGAGAGAGAGAGAGAGAGAGAGAATGTGTGTGTGTGTGTGAGTGTGAGGGCCTTGAGAAGTTGACTCATCCAACCATAAGCTCGGGCGGAGAACATTTTCCCTCCGTCGGAATGAGCAGATGAACATTTCTGGATGAAATGGAGCAGAACGCTTCATTCTAACACAGACTTGGTCTCAGAGAACCAACAACTCAGACCATCGCAGGTCTTCAGTGACCGGCTGCGTCTCACAGGAGCTTGTAGAGAGATTTTTAACGCTGAGCGCATCAGTGCCATTCTGACATCCGGGTCTGCCTTTTTTAAAATTGTTTATTGCACATCACGTCGCTCACATCTGATGCCTGGACGCTCTCCTGTTGAAATATTCTAGTCTCCTATTCCTCTCGCCACTGTTTTTTTTTTTTTTTTTCTTTCCCCCCCGCCTCGTCGTGACATATCAGAGAAGCTCGGAGCCATTAAATTGACAAAAGGTTTTCTCCTCCATTTGTCAGACAGAGATATGTTTGGGCTTCAATTAGGTAAACCTATTTCATTTGGAGAGCTGTTTTATTCCCGGAGGACAAGCTGTTGATGCAACACTCTAACATTATGGACCATTGTGTTGTGAAATATGACCTCTTGGCTAATGCTAGCCTCGGGAGGACGGCTTGTTTTTTTTCACCCCCCCCCCCCCAAAACACCCTTCCATTTATTGGCGCTCGCCTTTTATTTATAATCGTCGCTTGCATTACGTCATCGAAACCGCCTGACATTTTGCACCTTAGATGACCTCAGCGATATCGGATCAAATGCTAAATTCTCGACGTTTAATTGAACATTTCAAAGAGAGAAAATTGCCGCTCCGTGGCGGCGGAGAGCACACGTTCAGTGGCCTTTCTGTGAGGCAGACATTCAGCATTAACGTCTCAGCCAAAGCTCGTTCATCGGTGGCGTTCGTCGACAATATCAGTGGACTTTGGGGGGGATTTCTTTATGTAACATTTATGAAAAGCCTTTGCAGTGTTAACAGAGGTGACATATCAAATCACATCCAGCAGGAGCGTCATGTTTTTCCTTCAGTCTATTTTTTTTTTTAATGTTTGTATTTACATTTTTTTTTTTGCCAGGAGAGATTTATCATCTGTTTTAAGTTTCCGATCATCTACAATATCTTATTCCGGGAAAAACATTCTCCTCACTCGTTCTGCATCTGGTCTCGATTTCAGCTTCACAGAACCATATTGTTTGGATCCATATCGAGCCTTTTTGTGTCTGATTGTTGAATCACTGTTGTTGATCATCTCAAAAGAACCACATCCCCCAGCTCTGCTAAATTAAAACACACTCACCACCCATTTCAAATCCCCGCGACTCTCAGCACTGTACATAGACATATTTATTTTTTGAAAGAAAGAAAAAAAAAGACTGTACGATATGAGAAGCCGCGGCGAGAACATACGACTGATCCTGCATTGCTGAGGGGAGTTAATGGTATTTATTCATTTCATTTTCATCACGCTGTGCACATGAATCCACACAGATGCCGATATACAACTCATGTTACGTTTCACTTCGCGTTGGTTTTCCAGGGAAACCTTTATCACGCTCGCCTCGCTTTCTCCGAGTCGTCAAATCGAGGAGTTTTAACTCCGGAAAAGATTTGCACACGCCAGTGATCCAGAATTGGATCGGTCCGCACCATCTTGGCTCTCCCCGGGAGTCAAATTGCAAAGTCCCAATAAAGACTACGCCAACTGAAACATGGAAAATAATAAGCAGCTGGGTCTCCTTCACCAGATGGAAACATTTTTAGACTCTACTCTAACATCTTCCCCCCATGCTTCACAATAATGGGTCTGGGGCTGTGACACAGTCGTATTTAAATTGCCTCTTTCACAGCTTGAGTTTCAGTTCAGATAACCTGGCAACAGAAAGCGTCCCATCTTTCCGCTGGCGTGCTGCACAGTGCATCACGAAGTAGAGTGAGTTCGGCCGCAGGGGAAAACCTCTGCCTCCACTTTGAACGCCTGCCATTTGATCAGGAGGAACATTATGCAAGTTCTCATTGTGTGCTTCTACTCCGACGCAGGGTTTACCCAAAACGTGTTTATAGCGACGGCTGCATTTGTTCCAGAAACCAGTGTGTTCTTGATTTGTGCCTTTTATCAACATTTGAGTTCTTGAGGTGCACGAGCGGTGTGTGTGTGTGTCGCAGACTGTTTCCAGTAGACGGGCGGCAGTAGCACCATGTGCAGGGGCCCCGGGCGGCCCCGCCTTCATACACTGGATGAGACACAGCTTCCATTCTCTAGTTATAAACACACCCCCTTTTCATCTTTGTGTTTGGACACTGTTGCTAAGGCGACCACGCATGACCACTTCCCGTTGGGGATTATTTATCAGTGATTGGCTGCATCACATTAGCAGTCGGCAGTAATATCTGTTGATCTGTACGGACTGTCCCGATGCCTTCTCCTCCCTCCTACCTTGTAATTAACAGAGGACTTTTATAGAGGTCACAAATGAAATAGATAAATGCCAATTTTGTAAGAATGATTTATAAAAAAATAAACTCATATTTGATGATAACTGCATCTGTTTTTGTCAATTTTTACTGTTTTTACTATGTTGATGAAAATATTTTTTTTGTTTTCTGGTGTGAAATCTTTCTGAACTGGTTTTTAGTTTATTCAAACAATCCTGGATTATTTATTATTATTAACAATTTCAATACTATGCTGAGCTATTTCTTTTGGAAAACTCATTTTAAAATGCAATGGAATTAGCTTTTAATGATAATTACGTCCTACCTAAACAAAATCTAATATGTAATATTTCAATATTTTTGAGACATTTTCAAACCCCAAAATTATTATCTCCCCGGATTATTATTCCGTTTTAGTCTCCCCTGTGGAAACTCTGATCTTGAGTCTCTTCACCTACAAGAACTTTGAGAGCGTACAAGACACTCTGCTGGAAAATTAAACCAAAAAAGATAAATCTGCAAATAAATTACAGAAAACTTTAGTGTGTGTTTGTGTGTGTGTGTGTGTGTGTAAGCACTCGGCCCGACCTCGGCCTCAGCTGAATGAGAACACACTGCATTTATAATAATAGTGTGTCAGTGCTGTGCTGCCCTCAGAGATACAGTATAATAACCAGCCCTGTGTTAGACCACTGAGGAGGGTTTATTAGTCACAGCATTGATTTTTCCTCTCTGCTCTGCTGAAAGCCTCCTCGCTGCCTCTGTCCTTCAGTGTCTCCCTGAGGACGGAATCCTCATAACACCGCAGGTACGACCCGACCTCGCCCTGAATTATTAAAGGCACCCTGATCAGACGCTGATGACCTCAGGGTGTTGCCATGTGACCACGTGTGCAACATAGAATGTTAGTATAGATGAACGGGGAAAAAAATGAAGCCAAATCAGCGTGACTGCCCCCTGGTGGCTGGCTGCAGTAGATGTCATTAACCCTGTCTCCTCCATGTTAGTGGATGGAACTTAGACTACACTAAAGTTAAATAATTTCTTCTTGTTGTTGGTTTCTTTCCTTCACGTTGGTTCTTAAAACACCGATGTTGGCTCAAGTGTAACTTTGGTTTTAATTTGATGTTTGATGCATTAAAAACAGGGCGAAACATCATGATTGAGAGAACGACAGACTCGTTAGTGGTCGAGCGCTTAGATCAGCGGGTTCTCGATACTACGGCTCAACACCACAATCTCCACTGTGCGGACTCTGGCTCCAAATGACGTCAAAAGTGCAACACGGTAGCGCTCGTGTCCAGAGTGTTTTAGCTTCATTTTCTTATGACGCCCATGTTTATTTAGAGTTTGCAGTGTTTGCAGTGTGTCCGCAGGTTTTAGCTCATGAAGCTTTTCCTGAATTCATCTCTTGCTTTAAGTCGTTATGTGTGATTTCTGTTCCCAGGTCTAACTGACGCAATTTCGATCAAATTTTAGGTTTTAGAAATGATTTCATCTACTTTCTGTCTGTGTTAATACTCAGTGAAGCTGCTGAGCTGTTCCAACATGTTAGGATTTGCCAGGAGATGTCGTTTAGGCAGAAACCTTCACTAATTACAACAAGCTCATTTAAAAAATCCAGCACTGGCAAAAAAGAAGAAAATTAATTATCTTCTGAGGGATGAAAACAAAAGTTGATGTTCTCACCTCATAAACCAACCGTGACCTTCACACACGCTCAGACACCAGGAGGGAAGAAGCAGCTTGGAAACAGCGGAGACTCGGATCTGAGTCATAACAAGTATTTCTGTGGTAATAAATCAAACTTTGATCACTCGTGCTACAGCTCAGATAACTGTCAGATTTATTTACTTCCTATCCGCTCAGCGTGATGTTATGGAAAAGCTGCACTCGTGCACATCAGACTTTTATTTATCTAATCATTCACTCGTTCATTTAAAATGATCGATGGCTGAGCGACATTAAGGAGGATGTTAATGTTTTAACGGTGCCGTAAACAAATCAGCTGTGTCAATATTTCAACTGATTTCAGCTGATTACAGATACAATTCTATATTTTAAATGCCAAAGTAGGTTTAAGGTAATTTAGAAATAGCGTCCGCTAAAATGCAAATCATAAATGAAGCTGTATCAAGAGTTTTACTTCCACCAGGATCGTTCTCTGTGTTTGTACGTTTACTCAAAAACTACAGAACTGATTTCCATAAAACATTTTGGGCACAAACCAGGGAAGAACCTTTTAAATGATAATGGGCAAGACACAAAAAAGGCACTGGCACATTTAAATCCTCTAGATCCAGATTTTAGAAAGAAAGTTAAAAAAAAAAACTTGATCCGCCCTTGATCCAGGTTCAGAGGAGGCGTAGCTAAAAGTGAAATAGGGAATGATGTGTCCACAGCCTTGTTTGTAACATCTTTGCATGTGCAGCGGTGCAGGACGGACACAAGATGTGGTGGGAATATATTCAGTCTGTAAAGTAGGAACCGGATGATATTAACTAGAATGTGTCAAACAGCTGTTGAACACTGTTTAACAGCTGGAATGTTTATACATTCAGTACGTACGTACATTAATATCAGGGTCTATTGTAAATCACAATTCCTAAGATTAATTTAGTTGCCTTAATACTAACTAACGCATTAAGCCTTCACAGAAAAACAGTGAAGTTTGAATTTGACCTGTGGTTAATATTTCAAACCACATCTGTCAGAAAACTTTCATACACCATAAAGTTCCCTTTGTGGCTGAAAGTGTGAGAATAGAGCAACACCTCTCTCTCTCGCTCTCTCTCTCTCAGGAGCGATCATTTGTCTTTTCTGAAAGTAAGAAGTCATCCATCCATCAATTTATTCAGGTCGCGGTGGCAGCAGCTTGAGCACGGTAACCCAGACATCCCTCTCCGAAAAACATTTTCCTGCTCCTCTTGGGGGATCCTGAGGCGTTCCCAATGCTCGATGACATATTTAATCTCTCCAGCGAGCTGCGGGTCTACCCCGGGGCCTCCTGTGAGTTGGACGTGCCCAGAAAACCTCCGACGGAAGTCGCCCCGGAGGCGTCCTGATCAGATGCCAGACCCACGTCAACAGTTCGACAAAGAGGAGCGGAGACTCTAACGCCGAGCTCCCTGCAGATGTCTGAACTCTTTAACCTCTCTCTAAGACTGAGCCCCGCCACCTGACGGAGGAAACATATTCACAATCTAACTCTCACTTCCCAAACCTCATCCTCATGAATCACAACACATCATACTTGGATTTTTGAATGAATAAAAACTTAAAACGTGAAAATATCAGGAGGAAGTATGACATGATTGTTGTTGATGGAATTTGTGCTTTGGAAAATGCTAATTATACAAAATGTTCTATGTTCTTTTTGTAGGTTACAAATAAATCTAATTAAAGTTGTTTGTGCTGTTTGCTTATTCTCTATTGTTTTAATATCAGCTTTTAGGTCTTAATTACTAAATTAATTAGTGTTTTAATTATTAAGTTATTTCCAGTGAATAACTTTCAAGTTTTATTCTGAGGTAGTTGTGAGTTTAAAGATGCTTTTTCAGAACCTTTGAGTCAAAGTTCATACTGAAACAATTAACCAGAGAATTAACCAGATACTAAAAATAAAAGATGAAAAATGCAGCCCTGAAAATGTCGATAAATAATAAATAAATCACAGCAAAGTGTATAGTTGAGCAGAATCCTTTAAACTGCATCATAATTCAAACATGTCCATTTCAATCAGAGAGACATTCATAATTTCACATTGAATAAAATCGTCTGATGAATAAAATTAGAATTAAAAACATTTTGACTCTTTCTTCAAATTGTTTAGAGACTTTTTAAAAGGTAGAACTTCAGATAAATCTAATGCCATGAACTGTTGCAGATGTACAGCATGTGAGGATTAAATAATATACATCAATATGTCTGTACTCAGCTAGTACCTACAAGTAGATAAAACACAATATAGCTTCAGATTATTTTATAATGCTAATTGAAATGTACTATATCGAGGTAGACAGAACATTTTCTGCCGTCGCTAACGTGAGCAGCCTCCCCCCTCCGTGTCGGATGTCTGTTCGTCTTCATGTGTCTCTTCTTCTTCTACACTTAATTGTTTCATGTCTTGTTCTTCAGCAAACAGGCCGATATCCCCATTTCTTCTGTAAAGTGCAGCCTCAGCCCATCTCTGCTGTACCCTGTCACTCGTCCAGTTTACAACCGTTCAGTGTGTGTGTGTGATTGCGTGTTTGTGTGATTGTGAGTGTGTGTGTGTGTGTCTCAGCTCCTGACAGCCAGCATGGAGTTGATCTCCCAGATGAGGTTGCGGAGTTGGTCCATGATCTGCTTTAGCTGCTGATTCTTCTGCTTCAGCTTCTGCAAGAAAAATTACAGAAAATAAAATTTCCGATTTCCAAAAAAAAAAAAAGAGAGAATGTCTGAAGGCAAATAAACAATTTTGAAGTTTACGGATCAAAAATTAAAAAACAACCGACCAAACATTACGGTTGTTTTTCTTCTGATAGAGAGAGAGAGAGAGAGGTAAGAGAGAGAGGAGCTCCTTCACTCAGGAGCTACTGTATCTGCAGTGCAGTGAAATCTATTAAGATTAAATCCATCTCACTCTCTCACTAACACTCCTTTAGCCATGACTAATTACCAGCCATTTTTGCGGCGCAGATAACACCTTGAGCAATCGATTTCACACAGCTCTCTTAATATCAACTGTTTAGCTGATTGTCCTTGAAGATATTCCAGAGTGGAACATTCGGAGGCCTTCCAGTGTCTCTCTCTCTCTCTCTCTCTCTCTTCCTCCCTCTCTAGGGGGGCTCTCGCTGCCTCTCAAGCTCTCTCACTCTTTTCTCTCTCCTCTTTCAGTGTCTCTCTCTGCGACTTTCACTTTGATTCTTGAGTGTGTGTGTGTGTGTGTCTGCATTACAAGGGATATGCCTCATTACTCTGACAATCAAGTCCTGAAATAACTCATCATTTGCCCCAAATTAATGATATGATACTTTGAGCCTTTGTAATTTCGATCCAACTGATAACCCCAAAGCAAACTGTTTGTTTTTTAAGGCTTTAAAAAAAAAAAGAGAGAGAGAGAAGCCCCCGCACAGATATGTTTTTGGTTGTAAACGTCTAGATTTGGCTTCAAAGTCAAAATTTCGTTGCTTTTGAATCCAGATTCTTCCACACACACACAAATAAAATATTCTTCTCTGAGCTTTCTTTGAAGCCAGATATGAAATTCCACATTTTTCACAGCCTTTACAGATCGTTCATTATGAAAAGCTCGCTGGCATATCTTGATATATGAATAACACGACTGCTTTTATCACTGAAGTGATTCTGCAACCTCAGGGAGATAGAATTCCATTCATAACCTCATAAGTAGCGAAATGCTAATCCTTCACACCTTTAATACGATGTTTAGAAAAGGGTAAACTGCAGGGAACAAAGCAGAGGAAAGCTCTTAACAGCCTCTTGTTTGACGCTTACACACAAACACAAACACACACCCCCACACCTCTCTTCAGGATGCACTCCCTAATTTCTTGGCCTGCCACTCAACAGCCACAATAACGTTGTGATGCCTTTTCAATCCGCAGCCGGCCGCACCTGACTCGCTCTGACACAGCTTCAGCTGAGGCAGGGTGGCCAGTCAACAACTCATGAAAATAAACAAGGCCTCCCGCAGACTGGCAGAAGGCCGACCTGCTTCATGTCACCTGGAAACGCCGGCAGACGTCGGCACAGCGGCGGAGGAGAGAGAGAGTGGGAAAGTGACCTGACACAGAGCGGAAAGGGAGATTGACACACACGGAAGAGACGCAGCGACACACTGTGTGATGGTGCGTGCACGTGATAAGACTGCACTGAATTGATCCACGAGACGAGCAGATACTGATTAAACAGAGCAGGTATTGGTCAGGAGTGATGAGCGAACACGCTGTAACTAATGACGATTGTCATTATTGATTCATCTGTTGTTACTTTTACAAATAATCATTTTGTCTTTAAAATAGTGGAAATTTGTTAAAATGCAGATTAAAAAAATATAGAAATATAGAAAAGTATTGAATCGTCACATTTAGAGAACGATTAACAATGAACATTAACCATCAACATATCATATTTATACATTTGACTAATTTTATCTTCAGTTACCTTTAAACCGATTGTTATACATTTATGGCTTCTTGTAACTTCCATTTTATTGGATTATTTAAATTTTCAATATTCAAATGATAATAAATCATATCTTATATCTTATTTTTACTTTTGGTTCTTTTGATTAATCATAACATTTAAACAGTTTTTGAACAGTTCTCATCATTCCATCTTGTAAAGCCTGCGACTGTGTTTTGAAGGTTAATATTATTCTGTGTGTGTGTTTGTAGAAGATCTGTCCAACTCAGGGAGCGCTCAGGTGCCCTTACAGCACATCTGGACACATCTGGACAGAGGACAGACCAGGGTGAGATGTGTTCACCCTCAACACATTCAAAACATCAAAAGACCTCATGGACAGAAAGAGTTTGTTCACTGGACAGAGTTTTTGGCAGAAAGACGATGGAAAAGTCACAGCGTCTGACTCTGTAGCGACAAAGCTGCTTATAAAAACTGTAACCAGAGTCGAAAGTGATTTGACCTTAATTTATTTAGCCATAATATCTGTTGAATGTGATGCCCACTAATAGATTTTATACACTATTAAGTGAAGTAACAGAGACAGAGCTACATCAACGTTACTTTTCTTTATTACGACATAAATGGTAAATATTTTAGAGTCTGACTTCCAAATGTGATTAACTGCTGCTCTGTGTCTAATATTATCATTATTATAATATTACTAAGACATCTGAGGATGTCCCCCAGTGGCTTTTTAGAAATTGAGGCAGGCATTTCTTTTCCTTTTTGTCATTTCGCACAGACTAAAAGGTTCATGGGGAAAATAATTAATTGATTAACCAATTATGGAATAAACTGTGAATTGCAGACAGGCCTTAAAGCAAAGAAAATATTTCTGAATGATGTTGGAAAAGAAATGTTCATTCAACAAGAAAAACATGGAGAAGTCACATACAACACGGTGATTACTTTTTTTGTAAAATTGTCAGGTTTCTGTTTATCTGAAGAAACCCTCACTTGAGTCTTTGTACTCTGATGTTACTTGAAGACGAGGAACCTACACATCTTCGGAGTCAGAGGGAAGAAAAAAATCTGTTAACGTATAACCGAGCATCTGCAGCTTTTATCTCCAGCTGATGCCTTGTTCACCGTCAACTCTGTAACAACCCCATCAGTTTGGATCTCTGAGAAACGATTGAACGCAGATGAGCCGTGTATCAGAGTGATGATTAGACGCACGAGGAAAGGACAGTGGCTCCATCATTAACTGAGGCCTTTAAAATAAAAAGAACGATTGGAAATGCAAGACAGATGATTGTTGGTTTAAGTGACGTGGGTGAAGGGCTGTTTCTCAGTCTCTTCTATCTGCTTCTCCCCGTCTGCTTTCCTCTGATTCCCTTCATCATTCTCCCTTTCTCCCTTTGCTCGTCCAAATCAGATCAAAGAGGCTGTCCTCAGTAGAGGGGTAAAAGACAGAAGTGAAAGAAAAGCTGAATATTTCATCCAAATGACTTTATTAAAATTCTGCTCGCCTGAAACTTTGCCACGAGAGAAGCTCTAACTACTGTATCTCTGTGTCAAGACAGATCCTGGCTCGGGCCACCAAGAGATATTCGCTGCAAAATATATTCATGCATTCACATCTTTGTGGGCCCAGCAGGGATTGCTTTCAATTAAAAGTGAATAGATTTTCTTAACTTCAATACATCAATGTTCGACAGTTGAACATCATAATCTGTAAATACTTGGGATTTGTCAAATGTAGGCCAATCAAACAACAGGACATCTCCAGCCTTATCAAGCTTGATAATTGGCATCTCTGTATTAATTAATTCTGTTGCTTTATCTCCACATTAAAGTCGACTGGGGAGTTTTATGATCCATTAGACATTATAGAAGAATCAAGCTAATCTTGTAATTATGTCATCATATGAATAAGATGAGGTATTCATCTGCTTTTTAGCCATTTAACCCATTTCATCTGCGATTAAAAACACGATCTCTGGGCACATTAAAAACCCGGCGTTGCTTTTTTGATGAGGTGATTTGAGATAATGGTGAGGAAGAAATGACTTAGATCAAAATATTCACACACGCACAAAAAGGAGGAGAAGAGGAGGAAAATAGCAAGTAGAGCAAAAACGTGCCTTCACTCAGGATTCCTCCGCTAATCCGCCCTGACGCTGGCGACTCAAATCGCAGCTTTGACTCTGACGGATCTGGCTGAGAATTACAAGTGTAAGTGTCTGAGAGTAAGGAGAAGGGATTAGAGGAGAGGAGAGGAGAAGAGTTGAGAGGAGAATATAGAGGGAAAGTGAGAGAGGAGGAGAGGAGAGAGGGAGAAAAGGGAGAAGAAATGCAAACAGTCAAGAGGAAGAGGACGCGGCATCAATAGAGAGAAAATAAGAGAAGGAGAGGAGAAGAGTAAAAGAATTGGAAAGGAGAGGATGGAGCGGAGGAGCAGGGAGAAAGGAAGATGAGATGCAAAGAGTTGTGAAGGAGAGGTAGAGGCGAGAAGAAGGAGACAGGGAAAGAGAGAGAGGAGGAGAGGAAACAAAGTACAGACCTCGCATGGATTCTTTTTTCAGTGTGACAGCGTCTCTTATATTTTATACATGACCAGTCACATGAGAGGGAGTTAAAACCTTCATCTGCAACATCACAACCACCACACTCAGTACCTCGTCCCTTCACTTGTTTCCTGTAGTAAGGGTTTTTGCATAATCCTGCAGACAAACAAACCAACCAAGTAGCAGGAACAGGGGAGAAAACATAATCTCCTTGGTGAAACATCACAGTGAAATAAAATCTTTCATGTGCGACTGAACTATTACCTAAATCTTCAGAGAGAAATCTGAGGAGGAACACTCATCATCCTAAACTGTGTCCACTACACGGTCTTATTTCCTCATTCCTTCAAATTTCAACCAGCATTATTCAGCAGAATTACATAAAACAAAGGATAGAAGTATCAACTCGTGCTTACAGATGAGAAAAATCAGGCCCTAGTTCTGTTTTATCATTTTAGGTCTTGTTGAAATTTCTAGTATTTTTCCTGGTATATTATATCAGAGTATTGTTTAAATATGATCATCTATGTATATACCCACGTATTTTCTAACTAATCTAAGTTACACAGCAGCAATCACAATATCCACAGATTTTTTTGTAGCTTTCCAACGTAACACAAATCACAATCCTGAGCGTGACGTGAGTGCATTTGAGATAAACTGTTCCTCCAAATT